CCCCAAAACCCCAAAACCCCAAAACCCCGAAGTTTCAATAATACGCAACTAAAGGGGAAAAAGCTTAGAAATCAACTAATTATTTAAAATATAGAATTTTTGAAGTTAATAAGTGGAAAGATTTAATGGAAGTGCACAAAAGACAAATTAATTGATTGCTATCACAATTTCGGACTGAAAAAGACAAGATGTGATACTGGATACACAACTCTCACCACACTTGTGTGAATCCACCTAATTATGATCTTACTCCATAAGAAATGAAAGAATAATCAGGTGAATCAGTGCTAGATTGTCTTTTTTTAGACTCATTTCCAAGACTAAAAACTATGACCAGCACAAGCAAGAACAAAAATGCTGTAGTCACCAAGCTAGTCCCACTTTTCAAAGTCGAAGAGTAAAAAAATATAAGGAAGATTTAAACTGAAGTAGTTTTGCTTCAAATTATTAATAAACAAAATTTTTAATAAGAATAATCTGTAATTATCATCCATTATTATACTGCATGCCTCTGCAGCGTTTAGTAAAAATGAACTTGAAGCGAAAATCACTCTGGCAATTAAAAACTTCAAGTTCTAAAGAAAGTAGAGGATATTTTAAAATTCATGTAATCCAATCAATTTAATTCAAAACTAAGAAAGTGGTACGAAAAAATAACTTGCAAAAAAGAGCTTTAATCTATAAAGCTGAATCTGATCGACTGACTGTATGATTTTTACATTTTTTTGCTGCCATATTAAGCACATTTGAGTTAACAGCATTCAAATAGAGGTTGGAGGGCTGACAAAAATACTACATAAATTTAATGAGCAACAGACAATACACAGGGAAATACTTGAAGACTAACCTAGAAACGAATTTTATGCTAAGTCATTTAACTCAAACAAAGTTCAAATAAGAGAAATAATATTTGTCATGGATGTAGGATCCAGTAATGGAATTTTGAGCATGACGGCTGCAAGAGCAGGAACGAATTATGCTTATGCGATTAAAATGAGCAAGATGGGTGGCAAAACTGTTGAGATATTTGGATAGAATATAAGTTGGCATAATAATATCAAAATTTAATGGGACTGCCTCTTTTATGAAGAAACCTTTAAAGTGAAATTATGCAAGAGAACAAGTTTTGAAAGCTTCTGAGATTATGATAACTAATGTCTTTGAGTTTTATAGCAACCACATTAGATATAGAGCCTGAATTCAAAAATTTTAGTGTTTTTGACTTTAATGAAATTATTGCTTCTAAATAAAGTTAACCATTTATTTATCAATAAAAATAGATTTAATTAAGTATCTTAACTTTTGAAAACCTAAAATGGGGTTTTGGGGTTTTGGGG